GAGAGAGAAAGAGAGAGAGAGAGAGAGAGAGAGAGAGAGAGAGAGAGAGAGAGAGAGAGAGAGAGAGAGAGAGAGAGAGAGAGAGAGAGAGAGAGAGAGAGAGAGAGAGAGAGAGAGAGAGAGAGAGAGAGAGAGAGAGTTTGTTACTTGGATGCGCGCGCGCGCTTCGCGCTCTCTCTCTCTCGGGACTCTGACACGAGACGTCGACGTCACAACACAGATTCTCGCGCTCTCCAGGACTCCACCAGACAAACACACAAACCAGAAAAGCACACCCCACGCCACAACGTGCTCGCGACCGACCCTGCCAGTGCTCCGATCCCCTCGCCCTCACGCCGGCGCTCGCCGCCACCTCTCCCAGTGCCGCGCCGCGAAGACGGTCAGCGCGAGGGTGGGCGGGAAGCGGACGGGCGACGCGGCCTTGTGAAGGAGGTACGCGAGGCCAAAGGTGCCGAGCCGCTCGTACTTGCTGGCGAGAGTGATGCCGACCGCGCTGAAGAGGGCGGCCACGTTGATGCCCGCCGAGACGAGCGCGTAGAAGAGGGAGATGGACACGAGCGACAGCGAGACGGAGCACGCGAGGTACGCGCCGCCGTACCGACGCACCGCATCTGAGATGCTCGGCTTGCTCACGCCGCGCCACCACGGCTGCTGGAGGGCCGGTGGATGCTCGACCACGGCGGCTTCACCCGGGCTCGATCGTGGCGGCAACTCGATCACGCCGCCGGTCGGCACGATCACGGCGGCGGTTGGCTCGATCACGGCGGCGGATGGATCGATCACGGCGGCGGCGGCCGGCACGACAACGGCGGCGGACTCGGTTATCACGCCGCCGGTCGGCACGACGGCGCCCGGTTCTGCGGTATCTAGCTCCGGTGCGACCTGCGTGGCGCCTGAGATCATGATAGCCTGTTGATTGACGTTCAGGCGTAGCACGGGGCTCGCTCCGAACTGGCGCGGCCTCACCACGCATGGGGCGAGAGCCAGCATGAGTCCTAATGAGCTTGAGTGAGAGAGGGTGACTGACTGTTGCTGATTCGAAGGTTTTCCTTTCCGGGCAACCGACAAATTGCTAAAAATCTCTCTCTCGGCAACCGAACGGCTGACGACTGCACTCCAAGTGCTCTATTGCAATAAGTGCTAGTTAATGTCCCCCTATGGGCGTGTCCACGTTGGAGCCAGGTGTGGTGTCTGGTGTGGACGCGAGAATAGCTCCGCTGTTCATGGAGGCAACCGATGCGAGCTGGTGTGTGTCGAGTGTCGTCGGTGGTTTGGGAGAGAGAGAGAGAGAGAGAGATACAAGAATACTCACGCTCATACTCTGCTCGTCCTGAATTCACACACACTGTGTTCACACGTGTTTCCCCCCCCACCACACACACACACACACACACACACACGGACGTACGCATACGAACCGCATTATGACACAGATTCGAGACACTCGATCTCGAACTGGGGTCTCGAGGTTCGATCGAGTGGACGCCATCGGTTATAACCGACCAAGTTTGGTCATAGTTGACCACTCGGGCACCAAACTTGGAAATGCGGCGTCGAAGGAGATATGTTGAGATAGAGATCGTGTCTCGTCTAAGGAAGTGTGTGGGGGGAATTGACCACTCGGGCAAAATCGGCCGAGCCACAAGCGGAGTGGCGGCTGGCCGATTTAAGTGGGGGGACTTTTTGTATTTCTTTCTTTAATGGTGTGAGAAGTAAAAACCCGTTCAGAGCATCCGAGTGAAGAGACGCTACATGAGTGGGGGCCTCGAGCTTCCCGGCGGCCCGGGGTCAAGGGCCGCGCGGGAGGAGGAGGCACGCTTACCCATCACCAGGGCCACCCCGGGGGTTCACCAGGGGGTAGAGGCGGAAGCGGCGAGTGAAGCCCCTTCCCGCCGAGGGCCCGCACCCAAGGGCGCAGAGGCGGAGGCGGCATGGGAAGCTGCCGCGAGCCGCCTTGCCCCCTCGGGCGTCAGCGGCGCGCTTGCGCCAAGGCTGAACTACATGGCCACGTGGGACGCGAGTTCTCACACGTACCACCTCTTCCCCTCGGGCCCATTCCCCGACATAGAGGATAACGCAGAGCTCTGCGAGCTACTATTGCTCGCCAACCGCATGGGCTTCTCGGTCCATGCACATCGACCTGCAAACCCACGAGCACGCTAACTGTATATGGGGACAGGCGATGACGAAAGCGCACACCTAGTGCACACCACCATGCTTTTGGGCGCGCCCTGCAACGCGCCCGTCGCGCAAAAAGGATCGACCGTCGAGCTGTTCATCGACTCGTGTGGCGGGGACAACGTATTCAACTCCCACGAATTTGTGGTGCAACCCGAATTGCACCGCCCCACGCAAGTCCGAATGAAGACTGGTGTTGGGACCTCGGAGTGCGCCAAGTCGTACGGCCCCTTCGAATTCGAAGTCCAAACCGATCAAGGTTACTGGGTGAAAGTCCGCCGACTTGGCTACTACGTGCCCGACTTCGGCGCCAACATCCTGTCGCTGTTTCGCGACAGGCGACTCCAGGGATCCACAATCACCACCGGCACCAAGAATGGCCGCCCCATCGACACTCTTCGCATCGATGGTGTTAGCGTCCCCTTGGACACGTCGAGGGACATCTCCAGGATACTGATCCGCCCTGGACGCGACATGAGATCCGGATCGGCTTCAACCCCGATCACGAGCCCAATAATGCCTATACAACAGCTATCCACTGCGCCTACCCTGCCATACGCGGCCCAGCTGTGGCACAGACGCTATGGGCATATCCCCGCGTCGACAATGCTCATGCTGCCCGCCCTCACGACAAGGAGATATGTTGAGATAGAGATCGTGTCTCGTCTAAGGAAGTGTGTGGGGGGAATTGACCACTCGGGCAAAATCGGCCGAGCCACAAGCGGAGTGGCGGCTGGCCGATTTAAGTGGGGGGACTTTTTGTATTTCTTTCTTTAATGGTGTGAGAAGTAAAAACCCGTTCAGAGCATCCGAGTGAAGAGACGCTACATGAGTGGGGGCCTCGAGCTTCCCGGCGGCCCGGGGTCAAGGGCCGCGCGGGAGGAGGAGGCACGCTTACCCATCACCAGGGCCACCCCGGGGGTTCACCAGGGGGTAGAGGCGGAAGCGGCGAGTGAAGCCCCTTCCCGCCGAGGGCCCGCACCCAAGGGCGCAGAGGCGGAGGCGGCATGGGAAGCTGCCGCGAGCCGCCTTGCCCCCTCGGGCGTCAGCGGCGCGCTTGCGCCCCCGCAGGTGTCTTTCGCGGGGGACCGAGCCAAGCGCCAGAAAGTGGAGACTTCCGGGAACCTTCTCTTATCAGAGACCTCGGGAGGGCAGCATGGCTTCACAGTGTACGCTGACGGCCCGCACCGGCAGGGAGGCGGCGCTGACCGCCTCCCCCGCCTGGAGATCGTGCAGATACTCACCCACCCCAAGAAGACCCCACACACACCTCTATTCCCTTCACTACGTGCCTCCCCGTGTTTGTAGCCCGGCGTTTGTGCCCCGTTTGTGCCGAGTAATACATTTTCATATTCCTCCCTTGCTCTCTGGGGCCAGCGAAAGATTATACACACGAAAAGAAATTCCCCGTCCCCATCTCGGCGCATTGCGCAGCGCGCGCTGTCGAGCGCCGTTTGGTTGGCTTGCCTCTCACCCTCCCCGCTCTCATGCCCGAGTCCACCAGCGGTCCGAGCCCGCACACCACCGTGGTGGTGCACCCGATCGTGCTGCTCGCTGCCGTTGACCACTACAACCGCGTCGCAAAAAACACAAAACGGCGCGTGGTCGGCATGCTGCTCGGCGAGACGCACAAGGGGGTGACAGACGTCACGAACAGCTATGCGGTGCCCTTTGAGGAGGACGAGCGCGACCCAAACATCTGGCGCGCGCCGTCGACCTCGCCGCCGCGTCAAACCACCGCAGCCCTGAGGCCCGCTCGCGCGCCCGCCCGCAGGTTCCTTGACCACTCCTTCCACGAGGCGATGTTTGCGATGCTGAAGAAGGTCAACGCGCGCGAGAAGCTCGTCGGCTGGTACTCGACTGGGCCCAAGATCAGGCCCGGCGATCTCAAGATTGACCAGCTCGTCCGGCGGTACTGCCAGGTCCGAGACCCCTCCGAGAGAGAGACACCTCCAAGACACGCACCTCGGCAGGGCTACCCCCGTGCACACGCGTCTCCCCTCCTCCGTGCGCCACATACTCTCGGCCCTCTCCTCCTCGAGCCCCCGCGGCTTCTGCCCCAGCTCACCACGGCCCTCTCCTCCCCCGCCCTCCCACTCCCTACCCGCGCCCACTGCTCCCCGCTCCCTCCCGCTCACTGCTCCCTCCCCCTCCTTCTCCCTCCCCTCCCCCGCCAGCACCCGGTCCTCGTCATCGTCGACGTCAAGCCAAAGGAGCTCGGCATCCCCACCGAGGCCTACCACGGCGTCGAGGAGATCCTCGAGGGCGCGACCCGCGGCTGGAGGACCAAAGGACCCCGTGCCAACCACCCCCTCCAGCCCTCGGCGCACCCCCTCGCGTAGGCAAGCAGCAGCAGTGGACCTTCCAGCACGTGCCGTGCGAGATCGGGGCCACCGAGTCGGAAGAGGTGCCTCCCACCACCACACCACCACCACCTCACCGCAACCACCTCACCGCAGCACCACCGACGCCGCCACCGCTGCCACCCCCTGCCCCTGCCGCCGCCGCCGCCTCCCCGCCCGCGCGCCTCGTTCGAGGACACGCCCCCGCAGCGATAAGGAGAGGGTGGGTGTGTTGGGGGAGGGGGGGGGGGGGTGCGGGAGGGAACGGAAGGGGGGGGCGGGTGCTCGAGAGGGCAGCTCTTGCGCAGAGGACCGCCTCGGAGCCTGCTCGGGACCTGCTCTGAGCCTGCCGGGGCCGCACTGCTGGGGCCGTACTCCGCGTGTCGCACGGCACCTCGCAGGTGGGTGTGGAGCACCTGCTGCGCGACGTCAAGGACACCACAATCTCGACGCTCGCCAACCAGGTCACCCCAAGACCCGGACCCTCACCCCGACTCTACCCCTCACCCCGACTCTACCCCTCACCCCGACTCTACCCCTGACCCCGACTCTACCCCTGACCCCGGCCCTGACCCCTACCCCTGACCCTGACCCCGACCCCGACCCTCGCCACTGCGTGCCAGGTCGCTCAGAAGCTTGGCTCGCTCAAGGGCCTCGCGGTGAGAGACAGCCCGGAGATGCAGCCGAGATGCGGCCGAGATGCAGCCGAGATGCAGCCGAGAGGCGGCCGAGAGAAGACCGCACAGAGGCTCGCGAGGCAGCCCTCGGCCCTCGGCGCTGCTGCCTGGCTCGGCGGAGCGCGGCTTGCAGTCCGGTGGCCCTTGGTCTGGCGCTGAGGCTCCGGGCGGGCTTCGAGTGTCGTGGCGTCCCCTTCTCGCCTCGCAGGCGCGGCTGAGCGAGGTGGACGGCTACCTGCAGAACGTGCTCTCTGGCCGGCTGCCCGTCAACCACCGCATCATCTACCAGCTGCAGGACAGCCCGGACCCCGGCGCTGACACTGACCCACCGCTGACACTGACCCTAGCCCACCGCATCCTCTACCAGCTGCAGGACGTCCACCACCCCGCTGCTGAGAGCCTGGGCTGCTCCTTCACATGAGGGGGTGGACTCGTCAGGACGTCTTCAACCTGCTGCCCAACCTGAACGTGCAGGAGCTCGTGCAGGCGTTCGCCATCAAGACCAACGACATGTGCGCACCGCACCGGTAGATGCGGCCATGCGACCTCCTCCGGTCTCCCCAGAACACCGGTGGCCACACGCACTGCTGCTCTCTGCCGTGGCATTCCCTGCTCGGCGTCGCAGCCACCTCGGAGTGCGCCGCACGGCCCTGCTGCACGGCCCTGCATTCTCAGCCCGACCGCGGCGTCGACACGCCCCAGGTCTCTGGCCATCTACCTCGCGGCGGTGATCCGCGCGGTGGTGGCGCTGCACCACCTGATCGACAACAAGCTGACCAACAAGGAGAAGGAGTCCGCCGCCGACAAGGAGAAGGAGAAGGAGGAGAAGAAGGAGGAGAAGGACAAGGACGAAAAGCCCGCCGACGAGAAGCCCGACGATACAAAGAAAGGAGCGAAGTGATGTGAGCCGGGGAGGAGGAGCAGGTGTCGTCGAGGCTAGCGCTCTCTGGTCAGTTTATTACAGTACCGGACGTGAGAGAAACAAGCTTTTCTCGCCGGGCCATGCCGCGCCGTAATTCTTTTGCAGCTCGTTGTAAAATTCTTTTGACACACTACTCACTACCGTGTAAGAAACGTGTCTCGTTGTGCCTGCAGTGCTCGAACGTTATTCGTTATAGATATAGCTTACTGCTCGCCCTGGTAGCCGTCGTATTCGACCTCGTGCACGAGCCGGCCGTCCACGTCCTCCTCTCGCCCCGCGATGGTGGCCGGCCACCACAAGCCTTGCTCGCCCAGGATCTCGACGTGCGTTCCCGTCTCCACGATGGTGATTGGTGTGCCCCGCCTGCTTCGCCGTCTCGTCCACCCGCAGCCGCTCCCGCCGCTCCCTCTGGCCCTCCCTCGCCGTCGGAAGGGCGTAGTTCGGGCCGCTCTCCTCCACTTTTTGATTAGTGCAGGCCTAGGGTTTGATTAGCCAAAAACTCTCATACCGGTAAAGTTAGAGCACTGCGTACGTGTGTCCACACCTGAGCTGGTCAAAAAAGCGGCTAGCGGGCCCGCACATGGTGCATGCCCGTCGTCACGAACCGACGACCGAACTGGCACGTGGCAGAGGAGCAGCCCTGGCTCAGTGCGTCAGTCTCAGTGCGGACACGTGCCATGACCCGACGCTGGAGACTTGAGTCGTGACAGCTTGACACCACTCACCACACACCAGGAGCCACTACACCAGTCGAATGAGAGCGGCTTGTGCTGGTCACCCTCGCCTGTGCGTCGCCCCCATCAACACCGTGCGCAGCACCCCTCCCTGCACGGGTCAATAGCTCGCATCACCGCTCGCTGCTCCTCGTCGCCGCCTAATCCAACTCCATCACCGTCACCCGCAAAGCCCAAGCGCGCCGCCAAGCGCGCCGCCAGCAGCGACGCGGCCATCGGTCCCTCCATCACACCCGATGGCCCAAAGCCGCATGCCATCCACAGATTTGGGAGGCCGAGCGGAGCGAGCTCGCCGACAATGGGTTTGCCGTCGGCGGAGAAGGGCATCAGTCCTGCCCACGCGCCGGCCTCGTCGCTCGCGGCCCGGAGCGTTCCTCGAACCAAGTCGTAGATTGCCGCGGGAAAGAGCTCGGTCGCGTGCGCCCAAACCGCCCGCTCCGTCTCCTCCGGCACCGAGTAGTCGTCGTCTCGCACCCCCGGGATGCGATCGCCCCCGAAGACCAGCTGGTGCTCGTCTGAGGGACCGCACTGCTTTGCGTAGAGCTTGCGCACGAGACGGTGCGTCCCATCTTGGCCGTGCGTGCATTTTGCTGGCGTGGCCAGTAGGTCGTTGCGCCCATCTCCCACCTCGGTGAAGTGTCGCCTCGAGCTGCATTCGTAGATCACCTTGCGCAGCGTGCTCGGGGGCGCCGGGCTGGTGCAGATGACTCCCTTGACGGGCACCACCGGCAGCCGCACGCCCGCAGTGGCGGCGAGCGGCGCCGACCACGCTCCGGCCGCCAAGACGACGTGCGCCGCCGCAAAGCGCTGCCCCCCACTCGTGCAAACCACCCAAGCAGACCCGTCCTGCGAGCGGTCTATCGACAGCGCCTCCTCGCCCTCGATGACTCGGCCACCGGCGCTCTCCGCTTGATCCGCGATTGCGCGCGTCGCCAGCGCCGGCTGGACGCTGCCGGAGAGCGGCGTGTGGATCGCAGCCAGCGCCGAGCCACCTGCCAGCGCCGGCTCCAGCATGATGAGGTCGACGCCCTCGACCCACTCGACAGCCAGCCCCTTCCGCTTGCCGGCCTCACAGTCTTGGCGCAGCCAACAGACGTCCTCAGGCGTGACGGCCAGCTCGAGCGCGCCGCAGCGGTTGTACTCGCAAGCCTCGCCCAGCGATCGCAGCAGCTCAGAGCTGCCTGCTCGCAGGTAGGTCGCGGCGTCGCGCTCGGTAACCAGACGCGGCATGCCGGCCGACCACAGCGTGCCAGCGCTGAGTCCGCTCGCCTCGCTTCCGCAGCTGCTGCGCTCGAGCAGCACAACTTCTGCGCCGCGTCGGGCGAGGTCCCGGGCCACCACGGCTCCAACAATGCCGCCTCCGACGACAATGCAGTCAGCAGCCTCTGCCCTCCCACCGCCTTTGACTGGCTGGACGGCATCGGTTGCACTCCCGGCTTTCTCCTGAGCGGCAGGCTGCGACGGCCACCGACCGAACGCACACCCGACACAGCAGGCCGCGCCACCCGCAACTCGGCGCCGGAGGTACATCGGGTTGCGGGCGGAGGGGGAGGCGGTCCCGGCGGTCAAGCAGCGAGGGTGGGGGCCGCCCGTCGAAGCAACAAGCGAAAGGACGCGCGCAAAGTACTTGGCGATTTCACAGGCCTGTTATTTAAGAAGAAAATACTATGATTGTGCGCTGGTCTATGAGAGGTTGAGGTGCGAGCCCTGGAGGCCCTGGGGATGCGGGGAGACTACCCGTGGGCCTAGAGGGCCCGCGCGCAGGGGGATCGGACATTGAGACCGGTCATGAATGAGATTTTTAGCAATACCTTGTTTGTTTTGAATGAATGAGTGAGTGCGCGACACGCACGCATGTTGCGAGCAGCGTTAACCGTTATTGATGTTCTGCGCGTCGCCACAGACGGCGGCGCGCGAGAGCTGTTGCGAGAGTGGTGCTGGGCGAAGCCTCGGGCGCTGCCGCGGGCGCTCGGGCTCGACCTCTTTGGCGAACTTGAATATGATTCTCTTGGTTGCACGAACGCTATCCATCCTCACCGTGGTCTGCCTCGCTCGCCGCGCCAAGCGGCCCGCGGTTCGCCCGGCCGGCGGCCAAGGGCGGGGGCCACCCGCGCTCGCGCAGCAAATTACATAGGTCATAGCCGATCTGGATCCAATAAATAAAACGGACACGCCAAGTGCCAAACGTCAAACGAGGGGTGGGAGAAGGACAGGGTCCCACCTGCACGAGCAGGAACCAGGATGCATCTTGGAAGGACGATCAGGGACACAGGGGAACGGGAGCGCTGCAGGCCCAGCGCATGTCAGTCGCGCTGCAGCTCGCGGCGGCGGATGAGATTGCGACCGAGCTCAGGCTCGCCGCGGCGTCGGAGGACGCCACCGTCGCCTAGACTCCCTTGCGTCACTACGTGCCTCCCCGTCTTTGGGGCACAAACGGACAAAGCGCATCGGACACATGGCTGGGCAGCACGGCGATTTCTTCCTCCACACGTCCCGTATGATACGCGCTGGTGTTCGGCCCACTGTGCTCTTGCGATTGGTGAGTGGTGCGTAACCCCGAGGATACCTCTGGGCCATGCCTGTGCTGATCAACCTCATCGACAGTAGTGACGAAAGCGATGAGGATGAGGTGCCAGCGGCAGCCCAGCAGCCACCGCCGCTCGCAGCAGCCCAGCAGCCGCCGCCGCCCGCAGCAGCCCAGCAGCCGTCGCAGCCCGCAGCAGCTCAGCAGCCAGCGGCGCCCGCAGCAGCCCCACAGCCAGTGCCTCCAGCGGCAGCGCAGGCACCACAGCTGGCGGGGCCGTCGTCGGCACGCCCGGCGCCTGCATTGCGCACGCAGCCGTCGCAGGGCGCTGCGGCAAGCAGTAGCAGCAGGATGGAGAGCGCCGGCTTGATGAGGCTCGTCGCGGCCAGCGCGCGGCCCGATGCCGAGGGGCGTGGCGCCGCTGGCCAGCACGGTCGGCGGGACGAGCCTGGAGGAGGCGGCAGGGAGGCGAGGCTCGGCAGGGACGCGCGGCGGCCTGTCGCTGACGCCATCCTCTTCCTCCCCAAGCTGCCTGACTCGGTGGACAGGGACGCGCTGCGGCGCCTCTTCTCGGTGCGCCGCCCCGCGCGCGATCCCGCCTCCCACCGGCGCTCACTCCTCTGCCCTCCGTTTCGCGACGCGGCTTTCAGGCGTTTGGGACGGTCGTGGACGTCAGCCGCTCGCGCCGGAGCGGCACAGTCTGCTTCC